CTACTGCTATATAGCCTAGTACATATACAGTTACCATATATAGACAGAAACAGTACGTTTTAAACCCTTCCGGCAACCTTCGGCCACTACCTCCGGCACCTGGTTTACAGCTGCTCTTCAGCCGGCCTTAGGGCTGGACTCTGCGCGGATCCGCTTCTCCGTTCTCAATGATGCCGGGCGGCATCCGCCCCTACCTTATGCACGAAAGTTGACAGCGGTAATGTATGGTACGACAACACCGAAGACTCGGATGATGACTTGTTGCACATGTATAGCATGCATGCCGTGCCCGAAGATGAAGATCTTGACGCAGGAGAATCTATGGACACGCGTGAATCGGACGAGGAAGAAGCACAGAGTGACAACTCATGTGGATTCATACCCGTCTGAGAAGGGTGACCAAACATCTCCCTGTCCCAAAGTGTGTTTGCGCACATAGGACACATCGTGAATGCGAATAACCTCGAAGCACTATGCATAGCGGCCGCGGACCTTATGGTACAATTGGATATAGTACTGGGCCACAACAATGACCTTGAGATGCGCATTGGCAATACCGAGCAGTGTGTGCTAACACTTGAACGTGAGCGGGAACGTTGGCGCAGCAACTAAATGATGCTCAGGCGCATAAGACCGACGCGGACAAGATCCTTGAAGAAAAAAATGATGAGTTAATTTGCATGCGGCAGCGATTGAATGCGCAGCACGAAGAGCTGCAGAAAGTTCACCTGAAGGAGGTGACGAGCCTGCGTGCACGCATGCATGACCTTCAGCAGGTGTTAGATGAGCTGAGAGCATCAGTAGCTACCGCTGAACGCGGGCAGGCTTGCGTATTGGACATTGGCGAAGCCAGTCCAAGCACCACGTGCACCGCGCGTACGACCGGTGTCGACGTGCCACCCTTACCTGTGCAGACCGCATACTCGGGAGACCTCGAGTGGTGGTTAGCAGAAGTACGCAAGACATATGACTGCCTGATGGTGGCTGTGCCGGGTCTACCACCCCGGAACAAAGTTGACCCTCTCTATGAGGACCTACCTATACCTGAACAAGATCAGGATAGTGACCATGACGATGAGCGCGACTGATTCAATTTCAACGTTGCGCACAGCGCCGTCACGGAGGAACAGTTCCGTATCGCACGGAATGAGAGCATACGCGATTTCAATCGCCATATGACGGGTGCGGGCAACAACCGCAACACGTTCTATGACCAAATCCGCGTGCCCGAGCTCCGAGGCATCTATGACAGTCTCAATAAACGGTTTGTCGCGGGAACACGGGCAAACGAGACGCTACGACGAGAAAATGCGCACCTACATCGCGACCTACAGCAAGTGGAGAGCCACGATCATGCCCGCGCGGACAGAATAAACGAGCTCCTCAACATGCGTGAGGTACTCAAAGATTGGCTACTCACCGCCCAGCGTTGAGAGCACTTGATGCTCGAGATAGCGCGTACTGAATGCAAGAACACCGCCGTAATAAGACAACGGCGAGAAAACGAACTTGGTGCGTTGATGCATGAACACAAGCGCATAATGTGGGCACAATGCACATACTACGTACAGCTCATTGGGCGTATACACTATGCGAATGGACTACGAAAAGCAGGACCTGGGAATGTGTCAGTTGACGAATCAAGCAGGCGTATGCGTGCAGACGTACCATACCAAGATCAGGACCTGGTACGCGACACCGCAACTACAATCGTTGAGCGTGACGTCCCACGCGCGGTGATGGAATCCGACTCGTCCTCATCGGAGGGCAGTACCTCCGGAGACTCATTGGCCTACTTGGAAGCTCAATCTGCAGCAGCATCGGCTAAATCGGACTCGGATTCCCTACCTGCGCTCAAAACTGTTGACGGTACGTCAGATTCGGAGGGCTCAGATGAATTGGACCTGGGCAATGCAATTACGGTCACATACAAGCAAGTCCTGGCACCTACCACCGTACGTGTAGATAGCTTGCCACTGTTTAACTGTCCAGACCGGCGGATCTTTGTCAACAACAGTACGACGCGGCCTAACACGCTGATGAGCGGGATACGTACCATGATACGCCATGAACACTCGTCCGCACGCCAGCTACGGGACGACGATGTCGGTAGTGCACCGCGAGCACAGATTATAGCGCGCTATCCTGATGACATCACATACATGTACATGGCACAGGCCCGCGGTGTAACAACCACTGAGCCCGCCGCGTACCGAACGGCGGGACAACACAATCTTGAACTCGGCGTCATCTTAGACCCACAACTCGAAGCTATGCGCTGCCTCGCTCAGTACGTTGAGTTCAATGGTGTGCGTGCATATGCACTGTTTGATAGCAGGAGTACCACCACATTGGTGACCCCGGACTTCGCATGCGTAGCCAATCTGTGTACGTTTGAACTCGAACACCCAGTCACTCTTTACCTGGGGTACGTGGGCAGCCGAAGCAAGATAAACTTTGGCGTGATCGGGCAGATGTCCTTTGGGTCGGTCCGTGATGGCGCGATGGCGATCCACGTCGTCAACATGGACCACTACGACTGCGTTATAGGCGCAGACACCAGGCGCAAATACGGCATGGTGCTCGACTTCAAAGAGAGAGGCATCCGTATGGGTGGCACCTGGGTGCCTACTTTTGTGGTGGGGGAGGAGGCAGATCTCCTCGTGCAACGACGTCAGTGTAAAGTAGCTGCTTGCACAAAACAGGCTCAAAGGTGCAGTGGACCATCAGATAATAATAACCACGAGGCTCGCAACGGGTGTGCTGCGCCCTGACTACTCTTGGAAGAGCAGAATTTGGATTCCGTGAGGGTATAGCCTCCAGAATCAAGAATCGAAGAAGGAGAAAACTTGTACACCAGAAGAGAAGATGAGAATTGAACAGCTGGGGAAAAGCCAGCAGAAGAATACCTAGAACACCTCAGAAGGGTGTGGATAGAAAAGGATAAGGATATAATAAACAGAGCGCCGCCAAGACCGCCACCGATGCGCGAGATCAATCACGCCATCCCGCTTATAGACAAAGCACGGCAATAAAATTATCATATGCCGCGGTGTCTAGATGCGCTGAAGCCTCAGCTACTAGACAAAATCAATAAATATGTGGAAGCAGAATGGTGGATCCCGAAGACTGCTATGCAAGCAGCCCCGATGTTGTGTATCCCGAAGAAGTCGGGAAAGATACGCACCGTGGTTGACTGGCGGAAAAGAAACAAAAACACAGTCTGGGACGTTATACCGCTCCAAGACCAAGATCAAATCAGGCATGACATCGCTTGGGGAAGGTTTAGATCTAAGATAGATTTGTCCAACGCCTACGAGCAGATACAAGTAGAGTCTGGAGACGTCATTAAGACTGTGTTCGCCACAATCTATGGCACATACCTTAGTAACATCATGCAGCAGGGAGATTGCAACGCCCCTGTGACGTTCCAACGACTAATGACCCATATATTAAGAAAGTACATCAAAAGATTCATGCACGTTTACCTGGATGATATATTCATGTACTCAGATACTATCGAAGAATATGAACGATACCTAGGAATCGTATTCGAATGCCTACGGGGCGCAGAACTCTATCTCGAAGCGGAGAAGTGTCAGCTATACGCCGAGAAGCTTGATTGCCTCGGCCACTTGATTGATGATAAGAGACTGCATGTTAATGGAGATAAGATGGCAAAGATTAGGGGGTGGCAAACACCCAGGAATTACTTGGACATACAGCAATTCCTCAGCCTTGTACAATACATAGCACACTTTATGCCAGACCTATCGGCGTATACCGGACCATTGAGCACTATCATGCGCAATCAAGAGTCCTTCGTGTGGCACCCCATCCATGACAAATGCTTTGAAATGATCAAGGCGCTCGCCTGTAAGACGCCGATACTCAAGCTGATTGATCCCTGGAAGGGTGAAACCATATGGGTTGTATGTGATGCATCCACATCAGGAGTCGGCGCTATGTACGGGCAGGGACCTGAATGCAAAATGTGCAGACCAGCGGGTTTCATGTACCGAAAGCTTACCGCAGCGCAACAAAACTACCGCATCTCGGAATACGAGATGCTCGCAATCCTAGAGGCACTGATGAAGTGGGAAGATAAGTTACTCGAATTCAAGATCTGCATTGCGTCGGATCACAAAGCGCTGGAGTTCTTCAAGGACGGGAAACACTTGTCTAGCCGAAAAGCCCAATGGATGGAATACCTGTCACGTTTTGATTATGAAATCAAATACGTACAGAGAGTAGACAACCTGGTAGCGGATGCACTGTCCCAGTACTACCGTAGTGACCGGTGGGGCAAAGAACATGAACAGCGCAAATACACGGATGCTGACGCGCGCCTTGACCCATATAAAGAAGACCTACCATGGGACCGCATAGAAGAGATGCGCGTCTTGGAGGCTGTCGGGAAGTGTATCAGGAAGTTGCCACGCAGAGATGACAAACCACGGTGGTATGCAGACAAGCTCACTGAGTATAAAGACCCGCGGGACATTGAAGCTGAGGAACTGCATAAGTACGAAGTGAAGAAACAGCGTGCCGAGAAGCGCGCTATTCGGCGAGCAGGGCTGGAAAGGATTGCAGACGAAGAGAACCCTTGACTCATAGACTCTGTAGCCGAGAGCCCCGAGATCCAGAAGCATATAGAAGACGTAGATAACTTCTTGACCGACGTGAAGGAAGGGTACCCCGAAGACACCTTGCTTCATAAAATCATTGATGAACTCAAATGCCACAAGGCGTTTTCCAAGCTCGATGGGTTCCTATACACTCGGAACCGAGCGGGAGACGACGTTCTATGTATACCGCGAGCGGTTAAGAACGGAAGGCGCTTGACCGAGGTCGTCCTGACCACGGCGCACACAATATTGGGACACTTGGGCGCGCAGCGCACAGGTGAATACATACGACAATTCTATTGGTTGCCTACACTAGGGCGAGACGTAGACCTATTCTGTGAGACCTGCGAGATATGTCAGGTCACGAAGGGAAGGATGGCAAAGATAGCAGGCTTACTGCACAGCATGCCAATCCCATGCTGACCCTGGGATTCCATCGCGATGGACTTCGTCGGGCCGTTCCCGACGGCAGACGGCGGATATGACTACCTATAGGTCATACTGAGCCGAATGAAGTCGCTCACTCACCTCATATCCATCACCACGAAGACACGGGCAAAGGAATTGGCATGTATCTATGTAAAAGAAGTGGTCAGATTACATGGCTTGCCATCGAGCATAGTCTCTGATCGAGACTCAAAGTTTACCTCACGCTTTTGGTGGGAAGTACATCGCCTACTTGGCGCCAAGCTCCTCATGTCCACGAGTTTCCATCCACAGACGGATGGAGCCTCAGAACGGCAGATATGCTCGATCGGCCAAATCATGAAGTCGATGGTGCAACCTGACCAGACAAATTGGGTAGAATGTCTATCTATGACAGAATTCGCACTCAATAGCAGTACAAATGCGTCATCCAAACACGCACCGTTTGAACTGACGTTTGGCTACATGCCCACCATGATTGCGGGTATACAGCCAACGGCGAAGGAATCACCGAGGGTGCGCGAGTTTGCACAAAACGCGCTCCGGAACCTAGCAAACGTGCATGACACTATCATTGAATCGCGTGTCAATCAGACAAGCTGGGCGAACAAACACCAATCAGCTGAGGTACCCTTCGCCGAAGGGGATCTTGTGTATATCTCAACCGAGAACTTGAACATGCCAAAAGGGCAGGCGCAAAAGTTGATGCCCAAGTACATCGGACCGTACCCTGTAGAAAGCGCGAACACAGAATCATCAGCATACGAAATCAAGCTACCTGGAGACCTGGCGACCCGACGCATACATTCCACATTTCATGTCAGTAAGCTCCGGCGATATGAGCCGAACAACGACAATCTGTTTCCGTCCAGGGACAGCAAGTTCTTTTATGATTTTGGCACTCCGCATGAGGATGAATGGTTGATAGACGAGATCACTGCTCACCATTGGAACAAGAACACCGTCAAGTTCAACGTCCGCTGGAACCTAGGCGAGACAATGCGCGAGCCACTGTCGTGTGTCAACAAGGTCGAAGCTTATGTGGCCTACCTCGAACTTCTCGGCGTCCAAAGCTGGTGTGGTCTTCCGCGGATCAAAGGACCCATAGCAACGCTAAAGGACCCTGCAAATCTGCAGATGGTGTAAGTAGGGCTATTTGACAGTTCCACGGATGGACGCACCTTATCGGTCACCCCTGGTGAAGTGCGCACGAGTATTTAACGTGCGGACCACGCGTACAGTTAAGACAGCAACCTGCTACATCAACTGTCAATCGAGTATATCATGCTTGAAGACCAGACCGTGCCCGAGGCCAACGTCACCGTTGACCCAGCACTACACCTAACTCTCCTACTATACCGTTCCGTCCCTCGTGGATCACCGAAGCGGGGAAAGAAGTGTGGCGCGTACACCATGCGCAACACGGAACTGGCACTGCTAATGAGAACTGCGACTTTTGCAGCTTCACGCGTGAAGACGTACACGTGTTCGCACAGCAGTTCGAAGATGATGGTATAAAGGGCGGGCTCCTGAACCAGATCGCGGAACTTGAAGGATGTCTCACCGCGGCGCTTTCCGCCCAGTCTTCAAATGCTACGGCCAGCGGACAGGCACTTGCTGCCGCACAACGGGATCGCGACGAGAAGGCCGCCGAGATACAGGCACCTAGCGGGACTGATGGAACAAACTCGCGTCACATTCAAGCAGAAGGTTGCTGAGGAACTGGCCTGGTGCCCTCACGCGCCCTCGGCCAACACTTGCCTCAAATGCACAAAGATGGCCAGTGAATACAAGGACGCCGTCGCCAATAACAAACTCGCTCAGGCCGCACACAGCGGGTGTGTGGATCTGCTCAAGGTGGGACGGCGCAAACATGTTACCCTCAAAGGCGCAGTCAATGCCTTCACGGAAGAATCCACGCGTTGGCGCAAGATGTACTACGACCTGCTCGACAACCCCGAAGGCCATCAGTGCAAGCGCACGAGGGGCTCCGCAGATGGGGCCCCGCTCAGGGATCAAGGCGGGCTCGCGGCTTCGGCTTCATCGGCCT